CAGTTAGTAGGGTATCGTTAGTACTGAAACGACCTCTTGATCAAGTAAATGGTTGTGAATGTAGTTGCAGTAGTAGGAGTGGCAGTCGTATTAGCCGTAGTCGTAGTTGTTCTAGTCGTCGTTGTCTTAGTAGTTCTTGAGGCGGTACCTCTCCACGTTGGGAAGAACGGGATGTCCCCCGACACCGCGAAGTACAGCATTAGCGCCACGGAGGTGGCTGACATCAATGCGCAGGTGAACTCTCTTGAGATGGCCGAAGTTTTGTCTGCACCTCCCAGTCAGGAGGATCCACTTCTCGGTGGCGCCAAGAAGGGCTTGTTCGCACAGCGTAGGCAGGGAAACCTACATGTGACGACGCAGCGCCAGCTCGCTGAACTGGAGGCGACAGTGAAAGACCCGGCTGCCCAGGTTCGGGGTTCACGACAGCCTTCGCCCAGCCCGCCACCACCACCTCGATGGCAGCGCGGACGTCGACGTGACCCGCGTCTTCTTGTCCGCCTGAAGAGGTTGATCGTGCAGGCTGGCCAGCAGCCTGAACCACCTACTCACAAAGAACTCGTCGCCGCGCTCCAGTATCTACTGGGAGACAGCACGAAGTCAATCACTGCCGCTGGTTCGGGGAGTCTTACGTCGGGGCGCCACGTGCAGAAACGCTACAAGTTATTGCCGCATCCATGGGGAGGGGCCCCCATCTGGCAGGCAGCCCACATCAAAGACAAGGATTGCGACCAGAGCGAGCCGCCCGTCATTTCGCGCGGCAATGAGAAGGAGTGTGGCATGGTTATTGCCTGGTTCACGGCGCGGGGCCATGAGCAGATCTCGGCGACCTACGTCATCTCCAACGAGAAGAACATCATCGAGGTCTGGCAGGAGCAGGACGTCACTGTTGAGGGGAACAACGGAGGCGCGCTCCAGGCCTCAGCTCAAGTATTGCAAGCAGGAAAGGCTCCGCCTCAGCGCGCTGGGTTACTTGCTGGCGTCAAGGACGATGCGCCCGTCACCACCGCAGTGGACAAGCCAGCCAGCTTCCGCGTCGCCATCGCACGAGAGTTCCCGGAGGACTGGTTGTTCCAGCAGGCGAACGAGGAGCCCGTCTCGATCGCGACTTTGGTCCTGGACGCAGACCTCACAAAGCATGCCCTTAAGACTAAGGGCGCAGCGGCGTACGAGAGCGAAGTGACAGCTATCCTCATCGTCAGTGCTGCTCACGCCAAGGATCTATTCTCCTTCGCGTTACCCACGGGTGATTTTCTCAACCGGCAGGGGCCGACGCTGGTTCCCGCGTGGCAACGCCCTCGCGAGGACGAGGACTCGCACGCGTACTGCAAGCGCGTCGCTGGGGGGGCCACAGCAGCCTCGGGGAGGCTTGTGCATCGGCCGAATGACAACGGCGCCCTCGGAGCGCTCTCGACTGCCGTCGTTTCGGCAGACATCCAGCCGAGATGGATCTTGCAGAAGACTCCGATTACGTGGACCCAGACAGAACATGTTCATGCTTGGGCTCTTGATCGTGGTTTCGAATGTTTCAGGTGCCACTCGTTGTGGAACTCGTCAGTGATTTTTCCGAGGTGATCTAGATGCGTTGGTCAGTGGTCAGGTCATGGAGTTCACGTCAGGCACCCTCGCTTCCCTCGCCCCACCGCCGTGGGCAGAGCCGACCGCCGCCTGCCAAAGCACCGACGCCGGCATGGGGCACTCCGAGTCCGACCTCCGCGTCTGAGACAGCGACGACGACTGCGCCGTCGACGCGAACGTCGACGCCTGCTTCTCTGCCCCCTGCACGCGACGCCGACGGCGACGCTGCGACGCGGGAGGGGGGGGGGGGGGGGGACGCAACTTCGCAAGCTTCCAAGGTGGCGAGGGCCGCGCCGGCGACTCCGACGCCAGCGGCGCCGCCCTGGGCAGATTTATTTCAAGCAGCGAGACTGTAGAGGCATAGGGGTCTGCTTCTACTGCTGCGCCAGCTACCGGGCCAACATGGGCAAGACGAACCACGAGCCGTTGAAGGGCTCCGACATCGGGCCAGGTGGCAAGCTCCAAGCGAATCTTCGCAACGCGGCGGCTGCGGAGATGCTCGAGTTGAAGTGCTCGAAGGGGGGGGCGACGAGTAGGCGAAGGCAGGTGCGTGGGCCACCTCGAAGGCCATCGCGGCGGCAGCCCGCGCCATGTCGACCGACTTCGCGGTTTGGAAGAAGCAGGAGGATACCTGGCACATGTTCACGGCCCCCGCGAACATCAAGACGTCCAAGAAGTGCTGGTTGACCCTCGTCGACGGTCACTACAAACTCTTAGTGGGAACGCAGCCGTTGCCGAGTTCGGTGGGGGCTGACTGGAGGGAGAGCGCGAAGCCGTGCCCGCGCCACCACACTGGAGGTGGCAAAGCTGATGCGTCATTTATTTCGTCGAGGGGGGCGCGCGGTTTGCTCGGCCCCCCCGCCCCATCACGCAGGTCTTCGGATCGCTCTCGACTGCCGTCGTTTCGGCAGACATCCAGCCGAGATGGATCTTGCAGAAGACTCCGATTACGTGGACCCAGACAGAACATGTTCATGCTTGGGCTCTTGATCGTGGTTTCGAATGTTTCAGGTGCCACTCGTTGTGGAACTCGTCAGTGATTTTTCCGAGGTGATCTAGATGCGTTGGTCAGTGGTCAGGTCATGGAGTTCACGTCAGGCACCCTCGCTTCCCTCGCCCCACCGCCGTGGGCAGAGCCGACCGCCGCCTGCCAAAGCACCGACGCCGGCATGGGGCACTCCGAGTCCGACCTCCGCGTCTGAGACAGCGACGACGACTGCGCCGTCGACGCGAACGTCGACGCCTGCTTCTCTGCCCCCTGCACGCGACGCCGACGGCGACGCTGCGACGCGGGAGGGGGGGGGGGGGGGGAACGCAACTTCGCAAGCTTCCAAGGTGGCGAGGGCCGCGCCGGCGACTCCGACGCCAGCGGCGCCGCCCTGGGCAGATTTATTTCAAGCAGCGAGACTGTAGAGGCATAGGGGTCTGCTTCTACTGCTGCGCCAGCTACCGGGCCAACATGGGCAAGACGAACCACGAGCCGTTGAAGGGCTCCGACATCGGGCCAGGTGGCAAGCTCCAAGCGAATCTTCGCAACGCGGCGGCTGCGGAGATGCTCGAGTTGAAGTGCTCGAAGGGGGGGGCGACGAGTAGGCGAAGGCAGGTGCGTGGGCCACCTCGAAGGCCATCGCGGCGGCAGCCCGCGCCATGTCGACCGACTTCGCGGTTTGGAAGAAGCAGGAGGATACCTGGCACATGTTCACGGCCCCCGCGAACATCAAGACGTCCAAGAAGTGCTGGTTGACCCTCGTCGACGGTCACTACAAACTCTTAGTGGGAACGCAGCCGTTGCCGAGTTCGGTGGGGGCTGACTGGAGGGAGAGCGCGAAGCCGTGCCCGCGCCACCACGCTGGAGGTGGCAAAGCTGATGCGTCATTTATTTCGTCGAGGGGGGCGCGCGGTTTGCTCGGCCCCCCCGCCCCATCACGCAGGTCTTCGGATCGATCTCTTTCCTCGCGGGGAGCTCGTAGTTGGTTGGGCTTGCCAGCGTCGAAGTCAGGGGCCTCCGGGGCGTCGGGGTCCAGGAAGTCTCAGGCCAAAGCGAAAGCGAAAGCTTCTCCTCGACCTTTGTCAACCCGTGGTGCTCAAATTGTCTTGGGATTAGCCGAGGATCCCGATCCAGGGCTGGAGGCCGATGGCAATCGCAGAGCTGGGGCGTGGGGTCGCTGCAATTGCCCGCGCGGGTGACGACTTGATCTCGTCGACCAGGGTTGCAGCGGCACCCGCAAGCAGGCGCGCGCCCATTGGCGAGATTGCCGAGGAGAGCGCCCCCCTAAAGAACCACCTGCAGTCCGACGTCAGCGCCTCGGAGTTGGAGGCTCCAGGACGGCCATCCTGAGCAGGAGGGGGATTTCGAAGGCATGGGCGCGTTGGTCTACCTGGGGGAGTTCGTTGTCTCCCGAGGCTGGCGCTGTCACATGCACCCCTGCGGGGGGGCCTAGCCATTCCCGTCAGTGCAGCATCCAGATCCAGACGCATTTCACTTGCAGTAAGTGCGGCCGCGAGCTGGTCATATCGAAGTTCAAGATGCCCCCGTGTCGCGCGCGGCCTCCGGGCGTCTCCGCCCGAGAGGCCACCGTCGCCATGTTGGGGGAGGGGGCTGCTGCGGCTCAGCTCAAGAATCAGAACGACGGGTCCAGAAGACGGCCAGGAAGCGTCGACTGCTCCCCGGGCACTACGCCGAGGTGCGCCGCGTCTGCGGCAGGAAGGAGTACCATCGAAGGGTGAAGCAAGGGAAAGGGGAGACGGCGGTGGTCACTGCACGGGGTGCCAGGGGTTCGTCGCGCACAGGAGCGCCTCGTTGCATTCGCCGACCGGCTGCTGCGCAGGCTGCTGAGGCGGCCCCCCCTGCTTTACGGGATCCGCTCCTGGGCGGCGGAGACGCTGACCAGGGGCCCCCGCCGAGGCGGCCCCGTCCCGGTGGGGCCGCATTTTCGCGAGCTCCACCGCCAGTCTCTACTCGAGCCCCGTCTTCATGCGAGGGCCTGGTTTCACCGCCCCTGAAGAAAGTGAAGCAATGCTCGAATTCAAAGGCTGTTTGTGCAGCTCCGAATTCAAAAACTGTTTGTGCAGTTCCTGATGCGGTTTCTGATCGACGTGGGGGGCGTAGTTGCACCGCGTCACCGCCCCGGCCGAAGGGGCCAAAACGCTCCAGGATGTCGACGGCGTCGGGTTCCACGCGCGCCTCTCCGACGGCTGTCTCTCCAGGGATTTCGACGCCAAGCGCTGCCCGCGGGTCCAAATCGATCCTTCTCGTCAAGGCGGCGCCCAGCATCCCCGGAGACGTCTTCGAAGCGCTGCAGATTGGCATATCCACTCTCTCAAGCAGGACCTGAGGATGAGCCAGAAGAGCCACCAGCAGGACCATATCCACTCCTGAAAATATGCACCATCAGCGTGACCTCCCTCAGCAAGGCGCGTCTCACCACCGTGCTGGAGAGCATGGATGTGGCGTCGGCTGGGGTTGTTTGCCTTCAAGAAACTCGACATCGTGAACTCCGTCCGCGTCGGGCTCTTCGGTTAGCACAACAGTGCGGCTGGAGCATGGTGTTCTCTGAACCTCCCCCTCCTTTTCGAGTTCGTGGTCAGACGACGGAGGCGCCTCGGCAGGGGGGGTGTGCAAGCTTGTGGAGACGCACCTTGGGTCGCATGTCGGTCATCAGGGACGACTTCGTTCACCGCCGATGCGTGGGTATGCGTACTTCGTTGGCCACCATCGTGTCGGTGTGCGGCCCCAGGGACGTGGACAGGGCGTGGTTCAACCGTGCCTTTACGAATCTTTCAGCGTTGGGCCATCTGGGACATCCACTGCATGTTGTTGGGGATCTCAATTGGCGACCAATCTACTCTGCAGTTACCGAGGCGTGGGCCATGGGGCGACCTGGCCCAGGCGTGGGCCCGTCTACGACAGTGGCGAGTACCATTCCTACACGAACATTGGTTTGGGGTGACGGAGCCCCGCCAACGCACTTGAGCACGCGTTTCCTTCCCGGCGTGCGCCACCACGGTCTGGTCACCTACGAGCTCAAGATCTACCTCGTGGACCTCCCTCCTACTCGGATGCGGCACGCAGCTGCGTGTGTGCCCGTTCGAGGTTCCAATGATGCTGAACGCGCTCTCATGCAGGAGCTGGTGGACAGGGAGATCGGTCCTCCTGCGGTCTTCGAGTGCGGAGAGGACGACGATCCCGACCTGGTCGCCCGCTGGCGCTACTGGCGTGAACGAACTGCGTATGCAATGCAGGTGGCAGTGGATCGTGGCTGCGTGACAGTTGACCGCGCAGCTGAGCGAGCCAAAGGTTCACCGCCATCGACGAGAGCGACTTTTCCTCCTCCAGCGTTCCGACTGGATCAATCAATCGCCCAACGCCGCCTGCTTCGCCTACGTCGACGGTTCGCTGAACTATTTCGACAGGGCACGACAGGTACGACGCCGCTACAAACCAAGCACTGTAGCCAGCTGGCAAAGGCAGCTTTGGATCTACCTGATCTACTTCACTTGCCTGCTCAAGATCTCTTGTGTTATGCTGACGTATTGGGTTGTCTCTCTGCTGGGAAGGACCAGAGCCGGCTGCAAGCGCATGCATCCAAGCAGCGGCGATAGAAATTCGCAGCCTGGTCTTCGGATATTTGGGAGCTCACTACGCCGTTGTTCAAAAGGGCCTTCACCATCTCAGTCTGCGACGGTGGACGAGATGGGCGCGCAGTGGAAGGCCTCTTGGGCCCACCTGACTATGACGACAGCAGCTTTCTCGATGCCTGGCGTCAACG